GCTGCATGATAAATGCTTAGAATGCTGAGCAGCTAATTCAAACAAGCGTAAAGTTGTGGATGCAATGATTAACAAGGAAAGTATCTTAGGCCGACATAGCAGAGCTGCACAGACGCATTTCAATTTGATATAGTTAAGTTGCGGCAGATAAAGCGAGCAAACTAATCCATGGTGACATTCCAGCGTAGACAAGGCCTAGTGGCTTTGATGGTAACGTATCCTTAGGTGGGAAAGGACAGGTTTGAATAAGGTGCGCTTGATAAAGATTGACTATTCATGTGTTAAAACATGACACTTTTCAGTAAATTTCAGAAAAACTGATTTTATGTCAAGTAAAAAAAGAACCGGTTAGCAACGTAAGGGACATAGCGTTAATTGTCATAAGCTGGAGTGAGTGGACATCCACTGCGAGGAGATGCTTTCAGTCCTGGCACGATTGACCTGCCATTTAGGTAGGAGGGTGCTCAGAGAATTTTTGCAAAATTACTGGGTTTTGAGCTTCAAAGAGAACCACTGGAGCCTGAAATCCGTTGAGTGTGTCTATCGTGCAGCCAGCAAACTGCACAGGAATGCAGCGAATCCCTGTTATTTATCTTTCTTAGCTTTATTTTTATATTGATTTTTACTGAAAAAAAAAGGCGAATAGACAATACAAAGAGCAGAAAGGGTAAATGCGTGAAAGAGAAATCAAAAGCAAGGAAATGCATCTTACGGTTGACATGTGAAACTCTTTCAAATGAATCTGGGATAAAGCAGGAACCCGTTCAAAGGCGTGACTTCCACTGCTTCAAAAAAGTATATGTAATGGAAAGTGACCTGTTGGAGAACAAGCACTGTTGGGATGAATATATTTTCTCTCTCAACCAAAAATAGCTTGTGAAGGAGCTTATCTTTCTGAATAAGCTGCTAAAAGGAATATATTTTCTGTGTAAGGAGGTTAAACGTATTTGTTTAGCAGATTTCTGCTGAAGTTAGATGCCTAGTCAGTGAACGAATACTTCAAAAATTATTTGTGATCTAGTAGTGCCTGAGGTTTGGTTGAAATTTATGGGATGATGTTACCAGCTCTTTAGGGGCATGGAAAATACTTAATTCTGTAGTGCTGAGAGAGAGAGGAGGGAGACCGCAGAGAGCGAGGAGAAGGGAGCTGGAGGGGTAACAGTTTGCTGCAGCTAAGGGGAGCTGAGAAATATAGTGTGACTGCAGGAGTTAGAAAACGTTTAAAGAGTCCAGGCTACCTAACACCGGAGCCTGTGTAGCGCGGAGGGTGCTTTTGCAGTAGGGCTGGAGCCAGAATGAAACAGATAAAAAACTTCCTGGAATGCCTGGCATGCCTCTGCGGAGGCACTGGGGTGTAAGGATCAAACAGGCAGGCAGGAGATGGGTGTCTGGCCACTGCTGTTAGTAAATCTACAGAGAAAGAGGGTTAACAGGATGGGTTAAAAGCTCAAGAACCTCACCACGGGTGATCTCCCAGGATTAGGGCTTTATTTGTGAAATGCTTTAGCCACTTCACTACCTGCTCTTGGAATCTCAGAAACCCTGAGATGTTTAATAGTGAAAATATGAAACATTATCACAAAACCAAAAACTTCTTTGATGAGAGCTTAAAAGGAACCGATTTAGGATAAGATAAACTGGCCAGAGTACTAAACTGAGCGAATTAAGTCTTTTCGACTTGAGACTCCTATTGTTTGACTCATAAAGCCAAATAGTTACTGTGTTTTTGACTTAAAGTGCATAAATCGTCCGTATTTTGGATCTGTGCATGTTTCCCAGCAGAACGTTGTGCAGAGAGAGCGAGGAGCATGGCTGGGTGAGGGTAAATTCACGTCTTCTTGGCTGGTTAGCCCAGCTAAGAAGCGAAAAGTCACTAATGCAGTTGTATTGGTTCTAATAATTGGGGTACATTTGGCTGTGGGGCTTTGTACCGTGAAAACCTAACTCAAAGCTAATTGTTTACACGTGCACAAATAGATATAAACCACTGATTTCTTTTTTTTCTTTCTCATTCTGCTGCGGTAGAAATGACTGGAAGCTGCCAAGCCAGGCCATCCACTCAGTATCCACTTCTGCAGTAGTGAAGTCTGTTCCAGTTTGCCTTCGAGAAACAAGGCTGTATCTTTAGCTTTTCTAGGTGGTTTTACATGATTTAGGAGAGTATGGAGTGAAATTTGCCTAAAAACGAGAGTAAAGAAGTGATTTTAGCGTGGGATTCTGGGTGCCTAAATTCAAACCTGTGGCCCTTAAAGCATACTGCTTTCAGAAAGGGTGAAAACAGGTCCCCCCTGCTCAGGGTTTTTCTGTTGACAAGCCCTGTGGAGTGATGGCCTCACTTGTGAGGCAACATCTCGGGGATTCACTGGCTGCCTGATCCCTTCTTCTTGGTGCCATTCAGAGGCCATTCGGTGGAAATATGTAACTCTCAGACACCCCCCATCTATACTGCCTGAGCACTGTAGGCTGCTCTTGCTACTTGCTTCTTGCTCTTTGGGAGTTCCTGTTACACCTTTCGTTTTAAAACAAAGGCAAATCCCATCTCCTTCTATAAAACGATGTTTTGGTTTTTGGCTGTGGAAAAAGTGTTGTACCACCAGAAAGGAAATAAAATGAATGCCAGAGGCCAGAAGGTAAATCTCTGGCCGTTGGGTAAGTGAGCTGGGGGCCAAGTAAGAGCATGGGTTTGGCCATTTAATAATGTTTGAGACTGACAGTCTTGTGTAAGGTTGGTGCAGTTGGTCCTCCACACAAAATAGTAAAAGATGACAAATTGCTTTTACAGGTGCAGTTTTTGTTTTGAGTTTAACTGCTGTAACTTTATCTCCTCTTAAAGTGGAATATACCTGCTCTCAGGCTCTGTGGTCCACAAAGGAATTCAAAGCAACTGGCTCAGACCTAGACACCTTATTTTTAGGTGTCCACAGTTCAGTGAGAAAAACCCTGTTCTGTATGATGTTTTTTAGATTTTTTTCATCTTGCCCTTCTGACACTTTGCATTTTTCTTGCCGTGTGTCAGCAAGGTAAATAGAAAAGCAGGGTTATATCTGAAGTCGGTGCAGCTTGCCTGCCTAGGACGTTAGGCTATCCCCTTTTTTCTTTTCAGGGCACATGCAAGAGGTTGATTTCCCGCCAGACCCTTTTTCAGATGGATATTTTATCTGAACAAACTGAATTAGTTTAGCAGGTCGAGGGAGGTAATTCTGCCCCTCTACTCAGCTCTGGTGAGACCTCACCTAGAGTACTGCGTCCAGCTCTGGAGCCCTCAGCACAAGAAGGACATGGAAGTGTTGGAGCGGGTCCAGAAGAGGGCTACTAAAATGATCCGAGGGCTGGAGCACCTCTCCTATGAGGACAGGCTGAGAGAGTTGGGCTTGTTCAGTCTAGAGAAAAGAAGGCTGCGGGGAGACCTGATTGCGGCCTTTCAGTACCTAAAGGGGGCCTATAGGAAAGAGGGGGAAAACCTTTTTAGTAGGGCCAGCTGCGTTAGGACAAGGGGTAATGGTTTTAAACTAAATCGGGGTAGGTTTAGGCTAGATATAAGGAAAAAATTCTTTACAATGAGGGTGGTAAACCACTGGAACAGGTTGCCCAGAGAGGTAGTGGAGGCCCCATCCCTGGAAACATTCAAGGCCAGGTTGGATGGGGCTCTGAGCAACCTGATCTAGTTGGCGGTGTCCCTGCTGACTGCAGGGGGGTTGGACTCGATGACCTCTAGTGGTCCCCTCCAACCCAAAACATTCTATGATTCTATGATACTGTTTGTCTTGAGACCAAGAATCATCAACTGGCTTAATTCTATAATTATCCTAGAATGACATCTGAGGGCAGGAAGACGCTTCAGAAGGATTATGCTGTGCAGGCACTCTCTGACCCACCTGTAATGGTATGGCTAAGCCTAAGGATATATCCATGGAGACTGTCTGGGGGAAGGCTGGTTGCAATGAGCCACAGCTGTACCGGGCAGTGTCCTGACCATCAAGATGTTTGGATAAACAGGCCATGCTTTGTGTCCTGTGCTTATTTTATTTGCTAGTATATACAGAGCCTTTGTGAAGTAGGCAATACTACAGAGAAGAGGGGTGAATTTTAGCTACTTTTAATGCATGGAAGCTCTCTCCAAGCCTTCCATCTGCAGAGTTTTAACTGATTTCAGGAGAACAGTGCTTCTATCCATCCACACAGGGAACATCTTCAAGTTTGGGCCATTTTTCTGCAAGTTTTGGCTGCTGCTGAACTTCTGATGTTCCTTCTTACAACAGAGTTTGAACCATGGTGTATATTGCTGACAAAATATCCACCGTGCGGGTGTGACAGGCCTTGACTTAGACTGTGATGGCCTTTCAGTACACCTTATGATGCCTGCTACCAGCTGAGGATCTGTCCCCTGGGATGTTGCAATGAACAGGGCAAAGCACTGCAACCCACCAGAAGAGTTCAAAAAAGTTACAGAGATTATGGACTTTCTTTTCCCTTTTTTTTTTTTTTTTTGGAAGCAAGGGGAGACTGGAATTGACAGTGTAAAATCTTAATGAGTAGATTGTGCTGAGCGCTGTGGTTCACCTCCGTTATTCTCCCAGCCTCACATGTTTACCAGCCAATCAGAGCATTCCTTAAAACCGGAGATTTATAATGAAAAGTCAGCCCTAATTGAATTTCTTCATTAAGAACACCATCAAACAGATACAGAACACCTTACACCACCTTGTTTAAATTAGATTCATTTTTCTGATTAATTATTAAAAGGAAAGTTTAAAAAATCATAAAATCTTAAGTGCTATTAAAAATTGATTAGGAATGCATTTTTTCATTGACCCAGTTTGTATTTTTTTTAATTTTTTTTTTGTCAAAGCTAATACATCTGAGTAGCTGCCTCAGACAGAAGTTTGTAATCATTTGGTCATCAGTCAATTAATCACAGCTTCATAAATATTGATCTCAGATTACATTTATTCTTCATTCTTGAAAGAGAGTTTTTTATTAATTTAGGCTCACTCACATACATTGTGGTTTACGCTGAAATTATTTTTAAAAGTTCTATTAAAATTTAATTTGAGCAGCCAGCCAACAGCGTAGCCACTGCACATTGTGCCACCTTTCGGCAGGTTTATCGCCTCCTCCTGAAAGGTCCTGAGTACCCACAGCTCATACCGTAGGGCTTCTGTCACCCATAAAACCTCTTTAGCTGGAAGTTGCTGGCCACTGTCCATGCCAGGCAGAAGGGATAATCTGAGAGCGAGTGTGGATTTTTCTGAGGGGAGAAAAGAGGATGCTCTGGTGTTTCCCGTCCCACCTTCAATGGCTGTGTCCTGATTCCTGGTAGTCTATCACAGATGGTAGTGCCTTCCTGATGGTTGTACAGTGCTCTGGCTGCTCTTTGGCCTCTCCCAAGCGTCTGAAAAGCCGTCTGAGGGTGTGTGTTTGTGGGCACATACGTTGAATGTCTCCAGCCCTGCTGTAGTCCCTGTCATGGAGGTCATACGTGAGGTGAGGACCCATCCCAGGACAGTGAGGGTACCTGGAAGTGCTCTTGCAGGGTCTGCTACTGCATCTCTTGCACCTGGGAGTAAACCCAGTGCTTGCTTTTGCAGGAGTTGCATTTGGAAACAGAAATGTGGTAAGGAGGGGTGTGGGCTCTTTGGTCCCAAGCACCTGGAGAGGACACAGTTCTTATAGCATGTTCAGCACACCTGAAACAATACTGAAACAGTAACATGCAAGCAATGTTACTTAACATTCCTGGCCCAATTGCAGCTAATAATTTCCATCCTGACAATTAAAAATTAAATCTTTTTTTTTTGTGTGTGCTTGCTGTTACAGTTTAAGAAACACAGATATGGACATGTAAGGGGTAAGAGCACATGGCTGAAGAGTGACCTGAAGCATTCACTGAGCAGGATGAATCCTTTTCCACCCCATACTTTGTGCTTTACTTTGAATGCTCTTGTTTCATACTGAGAATGACAAATTTCTCCAGGCCAGGAACACCTGAATGGCAGACTTGCTACAGTTTCTGCAGTACATTTGGGTTCTTTGTCCTATTCTCTGTTAAAACACATGTTAAGATAAGTTGCTGTTCCCTAAAATCTCACTTGACTGAGGACTTGGGAGTGGTGGGATCACATAGCAACTGTTGTTACATCTATGAAAAATGCCTAGCCTCATCTTTAATGTCTGAAATCAAAACTGGTTGCCCGTTGTTTTTACTCCAAAACATGTTTATTCTGGCACAGCGCTTCTGAGAGGCTCTGAAATACAGCTTCAAATCATAGTCAGTAGAGCATCCTGGTGTGCTCGTCAGCATCAGTATGGAGCCATGCGAACCCCTGTCAGCATTCCTTATTTTTGCTGATATTGGATGTGTGTAATATGGAGAATGGATCATTTTTGTGACTATCCATGTGTCTAAGATTGAAAAAAAAGGTTTAATTTTCAGAGTCCTATTCCCCAATCAACATATACTACTCATTTACCATATAGTCTGCTGAAATGTAACGTCCTCGTATACATTTGGCTTATACACAGCACTAATTTTTCCCATAAAAAACGTGATCACACTGCAGTAAGATCTCAGACCCCTTCCATTAAATCTCAGTCACACACAGTGCTTTTCTGCCCTTTTCAGAAAAGTCATTCTGTAAGGATCATGTCAGAGACAACATGTGCAGAGGGCATCCAAATAACCCATTTGTTTTACAAATAGCTGTGAAGGTTTAAGCTCTTGCCACCTCTGAGCTGTTTGCTACCCCTATTCTTTTCATCTTTTTGCTGCAAAATCAAGCTCACTTTTCACCTTCATTGTCCATGGGCTGTCAAGATGCTGGACAGAATTTCTTTGGTTTGCATTGTGGCAAATCAAGAAGGGTGTTGTCTGCTGCGGGGACAGTCATTTCCAGCACAGAAGTGCTAGCAAGCGTACCTAACGGGGGATGTGTTAAGTTACTCCAGTTATATCCTTAAAAAGGTGCCTTCCGCGTGTGTTGAGTAATCAGAAGTGAATTCTGAGTCCAGTTGCAGCTGATGTCTTCTAACGGAAGGGATGCTAAGGAGATCTAGTAAATATATCAACCTCCAACTATTTCTTTGCGATAGTGTGGTGGTGAGAACCAGCTGTCCGTTTATCCAGTGATTTGACAGATGCTAGTGTTGAATGTGAGCAGTGTGTTAAGTTTTGTACCGAGCTCAGTAATCCTGGACAGTCTTTCCTGGCAGAAAAGAAGAAAAGGAAAAGCTGCAAAGCAATAGAAAGAGACGGCTGTAACGATGCCCCAGCTCTTCCTGGCTTTTTGTTGCAGACACCTGCAAAATGGCCCGGTTGGAGTTTTCCCACTGAAGTATTGTGTCACTAACTCAGTGCTCAACAACTTCAGCGCTTCTGAGAATGAATCCTGTCACTGAATATGAGCTGCTAGTTTATGGAAATGCATCTTTTTTTTTTTTTTAAAAAAAAATTCTATCTCTTCCTAAATACTCAGAGTTCTTTTAGTCCAGAACATGCAAAGCTGTGTATTTTGATGAAATTGTTTTAACTTCATGTAAGAGAAAAATAATGCCTTTCCTGCCACTGTATGCAGTAGCCACTTCTGTCTCTCTAAATTTTGCATTAATTGGATTGAGTTGATTCAATAAATTCAGATGATCTCTGAAAGTCTTTCTAATGGATTTCTTGTTAAAAATGTAAAAAAGTGTTGTTTTGCATTTTGATGATATATATGTTTACCCTTGGCTCAAATTTGGGGACCTCTGGAGTGCAGCGGCAACCAGGATATTGTATACAGCTCCTTGCAGGACCAGGCATTCATCAGCAAGATATATGAGATGCTACGGATCCAAATTAGTCCCAGCTCTTTCCTGCTTGATTTACTTCTGAGATCTGTATTCCGGGTTTCTCTGTCTCTTCTTTACAATAATGTTTAGCAAAAATGTTTAGTATTCAAGTAATTTTTCTTCTTGTCTGTTACGGTAATGTTACCAGATTAAAACAGAAATGCCCCACCCCATTTTTAATAGTTGATGATAGCTTGTCAGACATGACAAGAGACTTGCGCGTGCTCCTGGGACACCACAGCTCAGGTAAATGGAGACTTGGCCTCTGAGGCTAGCTTCAGGAAAAACACAGTTAAGAAACAGACTGCTGTACAGATCTTAAATTGACAAGAGAGGAAGGGAGGGAAGGATATAACATATATCCAGGAGCTGCTGGAGTTTTATAAGCTTTGTGTTATTGTTTTTTAAATCTATCTGGGGGGTTATGTTAGGAGAAACAGAAAAGCAAAGATGGAGTGAATGGCCAATAAGTGAAGGGGAGAGAGGGGCCAATGTGAAAACTGCAGGGATATTCTGACGATGTTATCAATATCCATCAATTCCTGCTTGAACAGCGGCTGCAGCTCTTCTGCCAGCTTTGCTCCGCGGCGAGCTCATCTCTGCAGCTCCCGCCACCCCTCTGCACTCATGGGGGTGAAGGAGAAGGAGACCCCACATGTGTCCTGGCAGCCACGAAGGGGTGCTCTCCCAGCGTGCATGCACTCTTCAAGGAACCCATAAAGAGCCCTTTGAAGGGCATGCGGGGTATGCAGATTTCATCTTGGGTGTCTGAAAAACGAGTCAGATTTTTTTTTTGTAGATTCCTCTTCACCCATCAAAAAGGTGTAGGTATCTACGATATGAGCAAACCTCACCAAACATGTCTGAGAGTCTCTGCAGAGAAACAGAGCTTCCTAGGGTATGATGCATCCTATCTTCAGATAAACATCCTAAATAGATATGCTGACTTGTGTTCTTCAAGTGCCTAGTTTTTCTCCAATGCCTATAAAGGGACTAGACCAGTAATTGTAGATGTGTCTTAAGTCTGATGAGGTGAATACTTTGTGTTGGGAAGCTGGGATGAAGAAACATCTGTGTTTCAATTCAATGTAGTCGGCAAAAAAAGGGAACTCTGACAAGTAACTAAAGATACTGATTTCAGTGACATTTCTGTAGTCATATCCCAAGTGCAGTGGGGTTTAGATCCAGCTGTTTATCATCTGGGGGGAGACTAAGTCAGACTTGCTTACAACTCTGCTTTTCCTGACAGCAGCCAGAGTCTTTGCTTACTGATAAATCTATAAATGAACCATTCTGCCAGACATACTGCACCAAGAGCTTTCCTTGTAAGTCTTGCTACAGAACATCCTTTGAAAAGGATTGCACTCTGGCAATACAACTTGTCTTTTGGAACTTTTTTCTATATAGTTTATTTACAATTTTTTTCCTTTTCTGAAGTATTTCCTGTTATTCAGAAAAAGAGTTTTGGTAACATGAAGGAGGATAATAAAGTCAGTTGATGAATACATATATTTGTTGAGAGCGCTTGTAGGAAAGCTTGACTGCTGTATCATCTGTGCTGAAATACATGGGTCATTCATTTGCTAAGTGCAATCAGGAAAAATCAAGGACTATTTATGTCTGGCCTCGGCTTTGATTTACTTGTTAACGCTCATTGTAGAAAGTAAAATAAAAACTTTGATCTTACAATGTTCTCCTGAAAACCCCTCAAATTTCACTGGAATTGAAGCCTGAGGAGGCAGCCTGCAGTGTCTGTGCCCAAAGGCCTCTGTGCTCAGGGCTGCTGTTTACTTTGGTGGGAATTTTGCCTGAGTACAAAGAGATGAACAGGAACCAAGAGCAGGAGCAGAGGCCGTGTTGCAGCTTCACCTGAAAATGAACCTTATAAGAGCCACAAAATGTTGTGGGTTTGGGGTTTATTTTATTTTATTTTTTTTCTGTATTGCTGTGGGTATTTAGTTTCAAATTAGACACCTTTAAACTAGAAGGAGAACTGCACTCACACTGATAACTTAATAGCACATCTAAATGTCTTTTAAAAGACTTCAATTTACCTATTAAGACCAAATAGACGGTCTGTTAATTTGACAGAATATCCATGTTCCCTGAATTTAGGGCTATAAAAATTGTTCATCTGCTCAGTCACAGGCCATTTAATTTTGGATGCATCATTGCCAGTTGGTTACAGTAATTAGCATTCTCTGTGTTGTAGCAGCTTCCCTGAAGCTATGCTAAGTAGGGTTACACTTCTGTATGGAAACATAAGCAGCCTTGTGCAAATGAGCCTGGCCACCCATCTTAGAGACAGAAGCCCTAGCTACAGCTTCTTGGCTCAGGGTGCCCTATATGCCCACCTGCAGATCTTATTTACTGGTTATTAATG